AGTATGTCTTGGCGCGTCCCACGAGCGGCGAGGAAGCACAGCTGGGTATACCCCGGGCGGACGATGCCAGCCCGTGCACCGGACCAGGTCGGGACGCGCCGCCGCGCGTGCCCGCACGCGTCGGAACCGTGCCCCGAAGTGGTCCGGCTGCATCCACCAGGGGGTGCTATCAGTGCCTATCAGTGCCCCTGGCCTACCCCAGGATTTCCAACCCCCCCCGGCCTCCAGAGTGCCCCTCACGAGGCCCAGAGGGCCCCAGGGGGCTCTAAAAGATTGAAGGACGTGCTGGGGACACCTTGGGCCAGGGGCACCTTTTTAGCAACCCCCGAAACTTGTCGGGCTACATGGCCCGCGCAGAACAATCCAGGGCGCCCCTTGGGACTACTTGCTGCCCAGGGGCGGGGTCGCGTGCCGCGCCGAGCCCCATCCCCCCTTCGGTCCACCCCGTGACCTTCTCGGGATCGGTGCGCGCACCCTCCCAGCCAAAGCGACGACGACGACGGCGACGACGACGACGGCGACGACGACGGCGGCGACGAGGACGACGACGACGCCGCCGACGACGACGACGACGACCAAGACCAAGACGACGACGACGACGACCAAGACGACGACGACGACGACGACCAAGACGTCCGCGGCGGGGGCGGCGGCGTCCGGCGTGTCGCTCTGCCGGTTCTAGCCCACCACGCTGCGGCACGACACGTTGTCCACTTCCCTGTCTCCAGGCGTCCATGTCCCGAGCCTTTCCCAGCCTCCCGCGCCGCCAAGAGAGCCCCAACACGCCAAGAGGGCGCCGAATCGGTCCAAGAGGCGCCCAAGATGACCCGAGGTTCCCCAAGACTGCCTTGAAAACGAGCCTCGGCACCACAAAAGAGGTCTACAGGCGGCCGAACAGCCCCAAGACGGCCCCCAAAATGAGCCTCGACACCCCGAAAGAGCCCTACAGAGGCCTCTACGAGGCCCCAACAGCGCCGTAACCATCATGTTCCCAGAGAGCCTTCCGGAACGTGATTGTCGCCGCCAGTTTTTGGATGATGTGGTTCTGAAGCATTTTCCCGTCGTCGTCTGTTCCCCTGGCTGACGTTCCAACGCTGCCTAAGACGTTCCCCAGAATGCACCAACACCCCAAGAGGGCGCGAAGACGGCCCAAGAGGCCCCAAGACGGCCCCCCAAACGAGCCTGGACACCCCAAAAGGACTCTACAGGCGGCCGAGGAATTCCAATACGGCCCTCCAAATGAGGCTCGACACCATGGCCGCAACCACCATGTTCCCAAGGAGTCTTCCGGGAACGTGATTGTCGCCGCTAGTCCGCGGAGGATGGAGGAGGCGGAGGACGAGGAGGAAGAGGACGAGGAGAGGGAGAGATGGAGAGAGAGAGAGAGAGAGAGAGAGAGAAGAGAGAGAGAGAGAGAAGAGAGAGAAAAAAAAGAGAGAGAGAGAGAGAGGGGGAGAAATAGAGAGAGGGAGAGAGAAGAACATTACAACAAGAGAAACAGAGGACGGAGGCAGGGGATCAGGATGATAACGAGGATGGGAAAACGGAGGAGGACAAGGAGGAAGAGAAGGAGGAGGATGAGGAGAAGAAGGAGGGCGGAAAACATGAGGAGGGGCCGAGGACGAGGATGGAAGCACAACCGATACTCAGCCGCTGCTCCCCCTCCCTCCTTTCTTCCCAAGTCGCCCACAGAAGGCCACGAGGCTTCTCATGGGGGCCCCAACACTGCCCAAACTACATGTCTCCGGAGAGCCTTCCGGGAACGTTAGTCTCGCCGCCATGCGGAGGATGAGGAGGAGGAGGAGGAGGAGGAGGAGGAGGACGAGGACGAGGAAGGGGAGGAGGGGTGCGAAGGCAGAGGATGCGGAGGAGGAGGGTGAGGAGGATAAGAAAAGAGGAGGCGGAGGAAAAGGAACGAAGATACAGAGGAATCCCGATTCTTCCGCTGACCCATCCCTCGCTCCCCTTCCCGTTCCCTCCCTTTATGCCTATCTTGCTTCCCTGGTTCCCTTCTTCCCCACCTCCCTTCCTCCCGTTTCCTTCTCTCCTCTCTTCCCTTTCTGTCTCCCGCGACCACGACGATGACGTCGCCGACGTCGCCGACGATGCCGACGCCGACGACGCCGTCGACGCCGACGACCCCATGCTCGCGTTCGTGGCCGTTGGAGCGGCCTGCCTCCCATGGGAGCGGATAAGAAGAATGATGAGACTGGGGATAGGGATGAGATGTACGGGGTTAACTAGAACCTGAGCTCGCGCGAAGCGCGCGTGGTTCTATTAGATATACATGCGTATATATATATATATATGTGTGTATACATCGGTATATATATATATATCTACACATATATATATATATATGTTTATGCATATGCATGTTGTTGGAACGCTTTGCGCTTATCAACTTTTGCGATGTGTATATTTCAACAGATAGATGTAGATCCCGTTATCATCCTCTATACAGATATGTATACCGGCCACCCCCCAGAGATATCATTTGATGGGCAATTTGTTTGCAAGTTTTTACTCGGCGCTTGCAGCTGGCAGCGGCAGCATCGCTTCCGAATGCATTGCGCCATTGACAGACCCCACCGGATGCGTGGGGGGCAGAAGCTCAGATGCCCCAATTCGTGACTTGCCATACGCAGTCGAAGTAGTGAGCAAAACAATCGGAGGTTAGGGTGGAATTGTGTGGTGGGGCGGAGCACGCACGTGTCACAAAATGATTGGTCTGAAGTTGCAAAGATGCACAACCATTGTTGAGGATTGGTGGTGTCATCCTGTGTCAGGAGCTTCCTTTCCAGAACTACGCAATGAAGGCACGACCATTACATTGTATGCCGATGGAGTGGAATACGCGTCAATCAGTACAAACTCCGACACCAGAAGCCATGACCACTACACGGGCGAAACAACCTTTTCGCATGGGTCATGGTAGAGAGTTCGATGGACACTTGGTCTGAGGAGGTATCAAGGCAATGCCAGTTTCGACAGCTGCTACGCAGGCCATACCAACGGCTTTGCCTTTGCAGTCGGCTGGCCCTGGTAATCCCCACGTAATCGCAGGAGCCATTCTTGATTTGCGTAGGTGATTGTATTTTCCTTGCACGGAGATTTCATTGCAGGGTTGAACTTGAGGACTTGAGGCATGCCTTTTTGGCGGGTTGGGTCCGATTCGGTTCAGTTCGGGCTGGTTTGGCAGCGGGCATGTTTGGGTGCAGCAGTTCGGCTTCGGTTTCGGGAGTCCGGGGCGGTTCTGACTGTTTGGGTCGGCGGCCGCCAAACGGTTCGGATCCGGGCAGTCTGGTTTGTCAGTCTTTGCCGGACTAAGAATAGGAGGAGGAGAAGGACGAGGAGGAGGAGGAGCAGTCAAGCCCCAGACCCAGACGGGGGGGATTTCAAGTCCCACCGACGGAGGGATCTCAAGCCCCAGACGGGGTGTCTCAGGCCCCACAGACGGGAGGTCTCAAGCCCCAGACGGGAGGTCTCAAGCCCCAGACAGGAGGGTCTCGAGCCCCAAACGGGGGAATCTCACGCCCAACAAACGGGGGGGCCTCAAGCATCATAAACCGGGGACACCCGACCGCTGGGTGTGTCGCGCCCACCGATCCTGTGCCGATGGCGTTGGCTCGGCACCAGATCGGTGCGCGAGATCCGAACCCTACCCTTGCCGATCAATGTTTCAGGCAACTCGATGGGCGACGGGGGTACATTCTAGACCTCCCAGATGGGGTCGGAGCAGACGGGGTCGGTGGATCGCGCCGCATCGCCGATGCATCGACGATGCGGCTCGATGTGGAGCCCGATTTTCTCCACGCCGACGGCGCCGATGTATCGCCTACGTCGCGGACGCATCGCCAGTCCATCGCCAATACATCGGCGATGCATTGACGATGCGGCGCGATCCTTCGACCTCATCTATTCGGACCCCTATCTAGGAGGCCTCTATTCATAGGGTTCGGAATTCGTCGAAGACGTGGCGAGAACCAATGCCTACCCCCACCTCCCATCGACGCAGGAGGAGCGATGGTTGGTGGAGGTAGGGTGCGGATGTCGCCACAGATCCATACCCCTGCTGCTGCCCCCAGCGCCAGGGGAAGCAGGGCCTGGACAAAAAAGGCGTGGCTCCAGATGCAAGCATTTTTACATGCCGCCACTCTGGCCCCTCGTAAGGTCGGCGCGTGAGCGCGGGCATGTATAGAATATCGATCGCCTCATGGCGGAGCTCGTTCAGTCGGGGGCAGAACACGCACCCTGACACGTCGATGAGTGAATTGTCCGTGTTCGGTTCTATGGAGGGCGTTGCGGCCGTCGTTTTCCAGGCTTGCGCCCGCTGGGTTTGGGCCCGAGGTCGTCTTCACAAAGCCACGCTTTGCTACATGGGGGTCTCTGTCCATCCCCGGCTCGGGCACGGCCGAGGCAGCACCAAAAAAGAAGGGACCGTTTCTCTTGTCTCGAGGGGGGCCCGTCTTCCGGTTTTGGCCCGAGGTCCCCTTCACGGAGCCACGCTCTGCCAAGTGGGGGTCTCCGTCCATCCCCGGCTCGGGCACCGCCGTTGCTCCTGTCTCTCGGGGGGGGGGGGGGGCGGGGGCTCGTCGGGCTCGGGTCGGGGAGAGCGTCCGCGGCCGCGGAGGCCCGCCCCGTGGCCAGGAGGGCCCCCCCCTCCCGCCCCTCGCCCGCGCGTGCTCCTCGCGCGGAGGCACCGCGGTACCCTACCACAGTCATCCCCTTCTCCTCCTCTCCTCCTCCTCCTCCTCCTCCTCCTCCTCCCTCCTCCTCCTCCTCCTCCCTCCTCCTCCTCCCTCCTCCTCCCCCCTCCTCCTCCCTCCTCCTCCTCTCCTCTCCTCCTCCTCCTCCTCTCTCCTCCTCCTCCTCTCTCTCCTTCCTCCTCCTCTCCTCCTCCTCCTCCTCCTCCCCTCCTCCTCCTCCTCCTCCTCCTCCTGCTCCTCCTCCTCCTCCTCCTCCTCCTCATCCTCTTCCCCTCCTCCTCCTCGGGTGAGAGCGTTGGCGCCCTCCCGCTCCAGGGGGCGCTCAATTCGAACGGGGCGGCTGCTCCGCTCGCGAGGAGGGTCCTGCTCCTTCAGCCGCTCGCCTCCGGCACGGCTGTTTTTGGCAAGGAGCCTCCTGGTGTCGCGTGGCTTGCGCCAGGAAGCTGGATGCCCATGACGCGGCCAACGATCTGGGCGGGAGCTGGATGTACAGGTGGCCAGATGTCCTTTCGGCTCTCGGCCCTTCGTTGGCCCAGTGCTCCGGGCTTCCGCATATGCATCCAGCGCGTGGCTTCTGGACGCTGTACATGTGCACTGGGCCGCGTGTGCTTCCAGCTTCTTGGGTAGATGGCGTGCCATGGCCTGGCCACGTCTAGTGTTCGGTGCTGCCCCGAAGTGAGGTACTGAGCGATGGCAGTGCCCTTCGCGTCCTCCCTCTCGGCTCTTTGTCCTCCTCCTCCATACCTCGGCGGCGGAATCCGAGACCTACCCTCGCCGATCCAAGGTCCAGGCGACTCGATGGGCGGCGGGGGTAGGCTTCGGAGTTCGCCGAGCATGTTGCGACATCCGGACCCAACCCGTGGCTGGTGGGGGGTTACGGCTGGCTCGCGCCGTGTTGACGCGGCGGCGACGCTGGCTCGGGCAGTCAAGCTGGAACGCTGCCAGTGGCCCAGAACCAGCCGATGTCGAGCGATCTGCGCTGTCGGGAAGACGCGATCGTTTTTAAGGCTGAACGATCCGCGGGGTGTCAGGGACCAACGCCGACGTTCACCGCCCACCAAATCACGCCAACCCAACCCGAAGGCCCCGATTTGCCCTCCATTTCCAGTGGGGGGGGTCGTCGGGGAACACTGAAATTGCACACGTGGAACCCGTACCCCCCCCCACCCGAAATTCGGACAGAATTCGGGTCTTCGGGTTGGGTTGGGGTGGCCTGGTAGGTAGTCAGACGTCATCGCCACGCGAGCCTGCTGTAGGGTTCGGACGTCTCCACATCACGCCCTCCCTTCTGCGCCCCCCCCCCCCCCCTGCCTGCCTCAAGCTGCGCTCCCGCGCCCCCGGCGACGACAGGCGCCTGCGCTCTGCTGGGGGGCCGTCACGTCTTACGGCTGATGGACAGAATCCTGCACCTTTTTTCCGATGTTTGTTTTCGCCCCTCCGTGTCCCCAATGTAATGTTGGCAGGCTGTGGCGCGATTTGTCGAACTGCCGACTGGCCTGAATCCTGCACCCCGCGGGCGCAGCCAATCAAAATTGCATCGGGGGCAGTCGGGCGCGTGGAAGTTTGCGCCGTCGCCCCGGTTGCGCGGGTGGTGCAGGATTTTGTCCATCCTCCGTACCACCCCTGTCATATGGTCCTTCATGGGAGCCTCAGAGGGTCCCACAATTCCCTGCGGTTTGGGGGATGTCGTTTGGATTTCGTCGGATTCGGTCGACATTTGGACGAAGATTCTATAGGCTCACGCCGCATCCGCCGACCCCTATATAAACTGTTGCGCCTCCAGGACTGCATTCCACGGGGCTTGTCCGAATTATGGCACGGCACTCGACATCGTTCCTGTTGTTTCGTTGTTGTTATCGTATCTCTTGGTGCTCTTTTGTGGCCTTTTGGTGGCATCTTGGCCTGTCTGCAGGCCATATCCGGCAGCCTCGAGGCATCTTGGGCCAAGTTTGGGGGCCTCTTGGGGGCTTCCTGGGGGCTTCTTGGAGGCCTTTGAGGTTCTCTTGGGGGTCCCTCGGGGCCTCTTGGGGTGTTCTTGGGGCAGGCTGGGAGCGTCGTGGGGCCGAAGGCTCGAGAAGGTGCCCTCTGGACTCCGCCTTGGAGCCGTCTGGGGGCCCTCTTGGGCTGTCTTGGGGGCTTCGTGGGCTGTTGTTGGACCCTCCTCGACCCTTCTTGGGGGCCCCTTTGGCCGTCTGGGGGCGACATTGAAGGTTTCTTTGCCCGTCTGGGACGTTGTGAAAACCGAATAGGCGAGTATGCGACAAATGCTTATTTTTCGAAGGGAATGGGGCGATTTGTGTTTCTTGGGACCCTCTTGGGGCGCATCTTGGGGGCCTTTTGGGGCGTCTTGGCAGCTTCTGAGGCCGCCTGGAGGCCATCGTGGGCGTCCAGGGGCGATATTTCGGCGAATCGTTGCACCCTGGGACCGTCTGGGGAGCGTTTTGGTGCCTTCTTGGCCAGTTTTGGAGCCCTCCGCTCCCCTGTGGCGCGTTCGGTCCGGGGTCGGGCTCAGCCAGGGGGGGGTTAAATTGCCGGCTTGGGTTTTTTTTTGGGGGGAAGGATAATGGGGGGGGGATAATCTCACACGCCTAGAGACCCACAAGGGGTCGGCGGACTGGACGAAGCTTGGACGAAGGGTGAAGAGGGGTGTTCGAAATCTGGACGAACTCCGATCGGAATTACGTTTCTGATAGGTCCGCGGAGGTCTTCAGATGCCCCCATGAAGGTTCAACCAGCCGTTGGCGGGCGCAATAAACGGCAACACCTTCGCGAGCCAGATTTACACCCATATCCACTGCGTCGTGGACTTTCTGGGAAGGTGCGCCAAAAGTCCGAGGCGCATCGGATGTGGATGAATATCTAGCCTCTAGGGGCCAGATGTTGCTCTACATGCACTGCGCCTCTGGCCTCTGGGGGAGGGAGCCCGAAACGCCAAAATGCAGTGGATATGGATGCACGTCGTGCCAGCAGCCTCCCCTGTTTCGGGCAGGCCCCCGAAACAGGGAAGGTTGCCGGCAAGATGTGTATCCATATCCCCCATCTCTGGTTAATTCAAGCTTCGCGCGGCCCGCGAAAAACAACAGTTTCGGGCAGGCCCAGAGTCAGGACGCACCGCTGCATGGGCGGTCCGAGGCGCCCTCTCGGAGCGTTCCGCAGTGCCGCGGCGCCCTGCCGCACCCTCCGGACCAGCTGGCTCTCTCAGGGATTCCCGATCGAGCCTCGTCCGAATGAGTCTGGTCAGAGGAGGAGGAGGAGGAGGAGGAGGAGGAGGAGGAGGAGGAGGAGGAGGAGGAGGAGGTCTTAAGTCGGGCCAGTCCCCCTACAGGGGGATTTTCGACGAAACAAAAAAATACAAAAATAATCAAAAGATTATTTAAAAATAGTATGGGGGCTATTTTTTGAGTAGTTGTTGGCCAGTTTGGGGCATTTTTTGGGGTATGTTTTATTTTTCGTCGAAAACCATCATGTAGGGGGACACGCCCGACATAACAGTAGCCTTCGGCACAACCTGCCACCGTGCCGGGATTGTCGGCCAGTGGCCCCCTGGATATTCGAGGGGATCTGTGTGGAGACTGCTCGGACACCCCGTGGACGCGGATATTGGGAAGTGTTTGGGGCGTCTCGGGGGCCTCTCGGGGGCCTCTTGGGGGCCCCTTGGGGGCCTGCCTCTCTGGAGCCTCTTGGAGCCTCTTGGGGGCACCGTGGGGGCCTCTGGGGGCCATCTTGGGGCGGAGGGCTCACAATGTCAGGCCGTGTTCCCTCTCTTGGGCCCTCTTGGGGCTGTCCTGGGGGCCGCCTGGGCCCCTCCTTGGGGGCTCGTGTGCCGTTTTCGTTCGATCCTGGGCGCCTCTTGGGCCGCCTTGGATTCTCAGAAGACCAAGAAGGCGGGAATGCCCAAACCAATCAACAACAAACGGTTTTTGACAAATTTTGCCTTTTGGGCCGCCCTCCAGAGCTTCCAAGACGGCCCAGGAGGCGCCCGAGAGGGCTCCAAGACTGTTCTCGGGGCCATCTTCGACCGTGTTGGACTTGCATGTTCCGAACAGCGCACTCTTTACCTCTGGAAAAGTCACGCGCGCACCCTCTGGTAGCGCCCATCTGCAGGAGCACCCAGGAGCGCCCGCGAGCGCCCAGGAGCGCCCGGGAGCGCCCAGGACTCTGGGGTGGGCCCCCCCTGAAGAACATTTGCAAATTCTGATGCGGACAACTCGCAGGGACCTCAGGACACTCAGGCTCGTGTCTCAGGACGCAGTCGCGGATATAATTTTACGGTTGTGCGTAATCGAGACCCGGATGCGCTGCCCCCCGCGCTCCGACCGGTCTCACGGTAGAGTCTTCTGCTGGTCCGTGCAGGCCCGCGCGAGGTCGCCTCGGGCGGGAGATCGTAGCTTCGTGCTCCGCGACACCAGGATGCAAATCCTGAGAGGTGAAATTCAGAAGCGGCGCTGGTACACCCCTGATCGAAAATTTGCCTAATCTGGTGGCTAAATCCCGCTTCATCCAGCCTGAGTCCCGCTTGGACTCAGTCAGTCTTAGTTCCGCAGGTTGCGGTTGAATCCCAGGCTTAGTCCAGCCTAGTCCGGCTCAATGGCCCCTTTTTTATCGGGCCAAAATAAAGGCATGACTCCTTCTGGCGAGGACATCTCAGGAATGGCCTCGTAAGTGGCCTGTGAGCGCAGCTGTGCACGAGAGCAGTGCCCTTCGCCCGGGATGTCACGGCTATGGCTGGAGCGCGTCTGCCAGTCAAGGGTAACGGACCCAGGTCAGCCGAAACGCCATAAAAATGTCAGGTGGTATGTCGTGTGGTTAAATGCTTCGCCACCCCACAGGAGCCGTTTGCGAGGCCCCCCCTCCCCCATAGAGTGCTCGCCTACACCTACCATTCATTCGTTGGGGCCATCTTCATGTAATGTATCGTACTTGAGCATAGCAACACCATGGTCGGCAGAGAGCGGGGGTTGTCCCCCCCCCCAGAGTGCTCTTTTCTTTCGGTGCAGCTAGGTGCCGTTGTTTCCTTCTTCTCCTTGTCCTCTCCCTTGTCTTCCTCGTCTTCCTCCTCGACTTCCTCCTCCACCTCCTCCTCTCTCCTCCGTTGTTGATGTTGTTTTCAATTGCACGGCAGGGCAACGCACACCCATTGCCTACGCCAAGCTTCAAGCTAACCAATACATACCCAGTCCCACTTCAATGCACTCCCCGCCCGACTGTCCCCGAAACTCCACCGAATGGTCGGCAACACCCCTATCGCACAAGCAGGCGAGGACTCATCAACGCCTGTCTTGGCAGCGATACACACCCAGCAACGACGAATGCAAATGCTGGACGTTACACTCGCCAGCTGATTCGGCTGCCTTCCCAATATCGTCTTCGTCACTGTAGTTCCACAGCAACGCTGGATTCATTTTTGACTTTTGAAACGTGAGCGAACAAGTGGTGGTTCGGACAAATCGCCCACTCGAGATCCGAGCTAGCAGCGCGGCGCAACTCTACGTACAGTAGGAGATGCTGGCGGGCAGACCGAGCTGCGTTCGTTCCATTGACGCAGCTCCAAATGGCATCGGCACATGGCTTTGCAACAATCTAAGCGGAGGTGTTCTATGTCTGATTGTGGTGGGAAGATCATGGCAATCATATGTGTCAACACAGTCAGGAATGCACGGTATTCTGCTGCCTTCAGTT